AAGCGGTTGTGCATTGGATCGGGCAAATGCATAGTACCATGTACTAGTAGGTGCCCGTCCGGAAGGTTTGCACGTAGAGAGACTGCCCCATACCAAGTTCTGCCTGATAGATTTTTGAGAGGGCTGTTGGGAGAATGGAGTAAAATCTGTTAAAGCGACGGAGTTTGAATCAATTTGTTGCACTCTTGACCGAGTAGCGAAGCCAGGAGGGGCTTTTTGAAGCTTTCCTTTCGGCCAGTCGAGACACACTGTCTCCAGAGTGTGGTTCCCGAAGTGTGGGGAAGTATTTGAAACCGGAGGACCGGAGGTTAAACAAATAGCGTGCGCGATTCTGGACAGCTAGCTAGACTGAGCGACCATTGATTCTTTTTTTGTTTGTGCGTATTTATCTGTGCGTGCGTGTGTGTGTGTGTGTGTTTGTGTGTGTGTGTGTTTGTGTGTGACAGCTATACATCCCATACGGTTAGAGATATGAACTTTGGGTTTCGACAGAACTCTCCCTTACCACCCGAGGATGTGCCTTTACGAAATGAAATTTGCAAATCGGTCATAAGAAAGGGAGGGGAGGCAATTTTTCATTGGGAATCGGCGTTTAAGTCGTCTCGCCATCTTCCGGATTAACATGGAAACGAGAGTTGCCGTGGTTCTGGAAAGAGAACGCTGGCATCACTCACCTCAGTACCTCCCCCCCCGCTACCGTGAATTCAGGGATTTCAAGGGTCTATGAGAAAATATGGCGCGATTCCTCAGCTTGTCGCCACATGTGTTCACACGAGCTTTCGCCAATAAACACTTCGTTTTTTCCCATAGCTCTGAAGGCAATTTTGCATAATTGCACGAAGAACGCAAGGAGGTCGGCGAGAGTGAGAGTTTTTCAAAGAGTTGGATTGTTTTCCCGTTTCGCAGTCACATCAGTAGATGACAAAAAAATACAGGTTTACTGTTTGGGAGCCGGGATCTTGCAAAAAAACCAGCAAATGCGGTGATTTGCAGCTCGTCCCTGTGCTGTATCCTGCATGTCACTTTCGTTTTCTTCGCCTTATTTTCCTTCCCACTCGTCTCCTTCGGTCCATTCACTGATCGAGTGCCGAAGATTACCTCGGGTCAAATGAGACCTGCAGGCTTTATACATATGACACTGCCCAAGTAGCATATAAACGTTTTTGAGGACGCTCAACATTTTTTCAAAGGTGTCTTTGGACATCCAGTGTACCAGAATGAGCACCTTTTTAGAGCTCAATTAAGGTGTCTCTTAGTCTCGAAGCATGCTGCATTTGAACGACATTCGTCGAACGTTTAAGATGTTTTCCTGAAGCATATCAGTGTTATCAATTTGACATTTGCTTAAAGCAACGATTCGCAAAACCGACGATAGATGGCGCGAAAGTAGTCGCTATAGCGAGTCAATTCCTGACACAGCTGGAATTAGTCCCCAATACTTTCCACAATGTAGCTGATCTTTCTCCACATAAATCAGAGCGGAAGATACTCGAATTCTTGGATAAATCCGTCATTAGAGGTAACCCAATTCAAGGAGTTTCCAGAGAACTCTGGCTCGAACGATAGAGGAAGGATTGTTCAATTTCAAAAGTGACTGCATGAAAAATACCTTTCGCATCCCACGTCATCTCTTACATATAAATATTGTATTCCTGACGAGGATGTCTGACTCTTGAATATGAGAGACCTGAGGATGAGATTAAAATTTCTATTATAAGATTGAATTTTCTCACGCTTCTCCTCGAGACTCTCCCAATGTAGTATAGTACCTTCAATTCTATTAATCGTCAACATTTAGGCTCTTAACACGAGCCACGTGAGCAGGGCTCTACTCTGACTGAATGCAACTTAAGTGAGGAAAAGAACGTATCCAAAAAGTTGATTGCATATCAAATGATTCCTAAAAAAATTTTATTCAGCAGTTTCCCTAGAAATATCTAATTCACGTTGTTGAAGGAACGCATAATTTGAACTGTTTTTCTTTACTTTGAATTTTGAAAATTTAAGCAGTTAATGGAACGCTGGCCATAACTTGAATGAAACGTTCATTGAACACGTTTAGGGTCTTACTTGGGTGCTTGTTTCTAAAGATCATGGTGATTCCTTCCGCGAAAACAAGAGTATTTCCTTTCCTCCGGTTTGCAGCAGATTTTACCTGCCGCTAGGAATACATGCAAATAAAATAATTACGCATATCCTCATAGTGATTACATTTGAATGCTTCAAGAGTTTGGAATGACGCATTTATTCACTTAGATCAGATTTTGAGATTAAGAGAGCTAAGGAGTTTCAGAATCAACTCAGATTACAGCATCGTTGCTACAGACATTCAAGCGCAAAATATTCCAGATACAAACGTGCCCTCGAAGACGTTACACTATGACATTCATTTCAAACGGGAGGACCTCGGTTGCTTCGCAAACGAGGCCCGGAGGTTTAACTTATAGCGTGGGCGATTATGACTGATAGCTAGGCCTAGCGACAAATGTGTGTTGTGTGTGGGTGTGACAGTTCTATAAGGGATGGGAGGCAGCTTTCACGGAAAAGCGGAAATTCCTCCTCTTCTCGCCATCTTTCGTATGGATGAGGAGACGAGAATTTCCGGGGTGTTTGAAAGGGAATGCTGGCATCGCTCTCTGCAGTGCCTCCCGCTTGCTGACGCGAATACAGGGATTTCAAGCGTCCATAATGAAATACGGGGCGATTCGTCGGTTCGCCGCCGGTTGCGTTCACACGGGCTCCGCAAAGAAGTCCATCGCCGACGCTTCCTCTTGGGGGTCCATCGCTCAAAATGCAGAATGACGCGCTCCATCGTCGCTGCTTCCATTACCTTCAGTCGCTTCAAAGCGCTGACGGATGACGCACGGACCCCGAAAAATGCGACAGTTCTTCAAAGGTTGCATTGCTTTCCCACGTCACAGTCGCTTTGGTAGACGGCAACATTTAAAAGTATAATCTGTGTGAGACAGCGGCTTGCAATGAAGAAAAAGGGTGCGTTCAGAGTGTTTTTTGGAAGTCCAAGGTCCACGGAGGAACATTTAAGCTCTCAGATGAGGTATCGTTTGATCACAAAACATACTGCATTTGAATGGCATATGCTGAATGTTAAAAATATGTTTCCTGAAGCATATCTATGGTATCCATTTGACAAATGCTTGAACTCAATCTTCGCACAACCGAGGCGGTGGTTACTGGATTCTTCCTCGTATAAAAGTATGCTCACGTCGTTACGGCTTAGCCTATGGCCTTGAGTGGGGCAGCCTTGTTAGGCCTCATTAGGACGGATCCTGTCAAAATGTCGAAAACACACATGTCGACTGTCCGATTTTCGATTACCTAGTATGTCGAATTCCTGAATGTCGAAGGAATGAAATGTTGAAAGTGAAAATGTCGAAAGAGAGAAAAGGCGAAATGGACATTTATTTATTTTTCAACGAAGTCATAAAAACTCGTCATACCGAACATGGGAAAACTGCACTTGGTCGAGAAAGAAAAACAAACTAATTGGCGGTTATAGAAATGACAACCTCTGACATTCGGCATTCAAAACTGAACATAATGTGCCAATGCAAGTAATCACGCACTTCGCGGTCGGAATAGGAAGATGACAATTTGATGTATGCATTTTCCCCCATGATTCTTCTTTTTTCTTCGGCTTTCGCGCGGGATTCCCCGACAAGATTCTTTCCATCTCTCCCACCTGAAAACATTCCTCTTTCTGCAAGACTCTTAGAAATTCATATATATTGGGAGGGGCTTTGCCTACAATGAGATTGAATCGGTGGTGCCATCCCTCTAGGATGGGTGCGGCCCGCGGGCCGCATGCAGCACACAAAGTGCCTTAGCGAACATCCACTTTGGGCACCACTAGAGCATTGGTCGTATGTGGTTCACCCCCGAGGACTCGTTCCCTCACATTCGACACTCATGGCATGCAGGTCAAGAGACCTTCGAATGCAGCTTGTACCTCACCTTCTGGCACTAGCGCCAAAGACGTCAACATACGCATGGCTAAAGCAAACTCTACGTTATCTGCATATTCAGAGACTAACCCTGTACTTTGAATTTTTCTCCGAATGCTTTGTGCAAAATGGAAGTGCAAGTGCTGTGTGTCACATGAGGACGTATTTGAGATACTGCTGACAAATTCCCCTCTCAAAGTCGACTGTGATGAACTGCAGCTTCGGAACAAAGTGGAATTTCTAAAATGCGTCAAGTATGCCTTGCACCATGATGGAGTAACATTGCGCATCTTTCGCATTCAACAAGCCATACACAAGAGGGAAAATAGCGCCGTTCACTTCAGCGTGCAACGTGTACAATTGCTTGGCCGAATCCTGTTGCACCCTAGGGGCAACAAAGAATGTTCCCTCCCTCAAGGAGAGGAAATAATTTAATCTCCTCTCCTTGATTATATTAGGACCCAAGGAATGGAAAAGAATAACCGGATTTCGACATTTTGAGGATTCGACGTTTTTCCACATTTTGACATTTCCGGTATTGTAACAATCAACATTATGCCCATTCGACCATTGTCCATTCGACACTGTGTGGCATTCAACATGTTTGCTATTCGACAAAAAATCTGACGACATTGTGGCTTTCGACATTATGTTATAGAACCTCATTAGGCCTACAAGGCTACGCCATTAGAACTTGAATTTACTTTTGAAGATCTCACTATGCATTTTGAAGCTATATCTCTCATGCTCAAAACTTCATCTTTTTCTTTTGCTCCATGTTGGTGTCATGATATTTATCTCTTGAAGGTCTCGTTGTCACTTAGGTACAGACTCGGTCAAATATCACCTTGTATTTCAAAATATTAAAATGAAACTCTGTAATGGTCAATTTGGGACAATGAAAATAACTCAATGTGAACACATAACCATTAATATGTCCGTATTAGTTCCCTTAGGAATAATATACTGCGGCTATGTTCAGCCATCGGATTGGCAGTCATCAAAGCATACTAAAGAAAGGAAATATGGTTTTCGAAATCAATTTATTTGTTGAGGCTCATCAGTGAAAAACATCCCAGACAATAATTGAGAAAACAACTGAGCCAGCTCCGTGTCCATCCCTGGTTGGAACTTAGCGCTGCCTATGGCGTTAGAATCAGCATAGGAGGTTCTCTGAACAACTGGTAATAATGCGGTTTGGTCTTCAGCTGGGGGTTTGTCCCACTTATTGCAGAACTTGCTGCACTTATGAATGGAAAAGAAATTCAGTATCCCTTGCTTTCCCATGTCAGTGGGTCCCCAATCCTGCTTCAAGGAGTCAATGGCAGGGTCGGTGAAGTAGTACCCGTCGTCCTTTTTGCCTTCAATTTGACGCACGCCTTGCAAGTCGCAGACAATCAGCTCTCGCGTCTTGTGCCATGTGTAGTGAGTGAAGACCTCTGGAGCAGTGTATCCGTCAAGAATGTATCCGGAATTGGATACGAATTTCTGAAAGTTACCTTCTAAGAACGGTTCCAGGGCAACTTTTTCTCCCTGCAAGATGAAATGCGTCTGACTCTCTGGTGCACAAGCTATGTTGAATAGAATTCGAATCGTGAGTAGTATAAGAAAATATATAGGAAATATATAGGAAAATGTTCATGAGTAACTTCCAAATTTGTTCCCTTTCAGTTGTTCCGTGGTTCTCGATGAAGAGCATACTGCTCATACACTCATGGAAACCTGTCTGCATTAAGTAAGATTCCTGAGCGAAGTTAAGTGACGAGTCCTCTTATAGAGTCCTGAAAAAGTCCAGGAAATGGAAGAAAAAACTTTGTGAGGAATTATTGTTGCTTGACTTAGGTCCCCGTTAAAACGATGAAGGTATTTAAGGATATTAACACAAGCGCCATTTGGCGGAGATCTGTTTCCGTGAACTTCTGAATTTTCTAAGTATCACGTTTCTAATATCACGAAAATATAACGAATCCTCTCAGGCGTATGAATATGTCGACCACGGAAATAGTTTACTTACCACGGCAAATACACGTCTCCCGTCATTCTCGACTGTGCTACTAATTGAATGAATAATTGGTTGCTTGAAAATGATGGGATGATTGAGTGGCACTTCCTGGTTGAACTGCAGGGCAAGTTGGTGAGTTTTCAAGTAGACCTTCATAACTATATCCACATTCATTTCAGCGTTGAAGGACATCGGCTTGAAAGCTTTCAGGATGTAAGCTTGCTCTGCACCTGAAAGAGTAATCCCTCATGTCAAAAAGTTATTCCTTAAGGATGAGTTACCTTGCAATTTTCAGCCTTCCTTTGCAATTTAGGTTGCATACCATGCAGAAGTCATAATGAAAGATAGCTACTTTCGTTCAACAAATGACTGACAACCCAGAGACTATCAATGTATGAAAATACTATTCTCAGAGTTAGAACATTTCAAAATAAACTTACCATCCTGCATAGGAACATCTACTTTGAAAACATCGCGAGTGGCGTCTGGAGCAAGCATGTTAGGAGTAACGACGATAGACTTTACGGGTCCACCGCAGGATGTGCCCCTAGCCCTAATTTTAAGTAGGGCGCATATGTAACACGCATCATAGGTCGTTTTGCAATCGGGGCAATGCACCCGGTTTCCAAAAGCGATCTCTCCACATTCAATACACTTATAATTTATCGAAGCCAAGGTGTGCGAATGATCGGGTTTGTAGTCAACTGCCTTGATGCAAGGTTCACAATGGTCGATGTCACACTTGCTGCAGCAACGCCACCTTTCGTCGTTGGATGAGAAGAACTTCTTGCAGCGATCGCATGTCCAGTCGGTGGCGAATATATCAAAATCAACTGATACCAATGTATGCCCATCTGGGCATGATATCGTGTTCCCCATGGTTGATGAATCCCTGCTTGGTCGATTACTAAGAAATTGTTGGATTAAGGGTCGTTGCAGACCTGAATTGCCTCGGCACTAACGACAAGCACTGTGCAACTCTCACAACTTGTTCCCATGGAGGAAATATGGAACAAATAAAGATAAGTCGGAAAGACCCGGCTGATAAGCCAATGTCGACTATCTGTTTTACTCTGCGAAGGTATTCGGTGTCCCAGAAAGACATTACATGTGAAAATGCACGCAGGGAATCATCACTTCACGTGTAACACCCTGGTTTCCTCTTTCAATGTTTAACCCTTTTCACTCGTTTGTCGAGCTGGGCTCGACATCAGTTGTAGCGTTGCGGAATAAACCGAGTGGAAAGGGTTAAAAAACAAGTAGCCGATACCTTTAGCCTGAGCGTTCAAGTTCCACATTCCTGAAACGTTCGAGTTTAGTTTGCTTTCCTCTGAACCTGCTGCAAAGCGAAGGAAAATAAGCGTCCTGTCATCGTACAAGGAGTCACCATCAACTTTAGAGACTACCATTGCAATACGGTCATTTCTGTGTCAAGTCACCCTAGCGAATATGGGGTACTGTCTCAGCAATTAATGAAATTTGGGATATGTTTTATTCGATGGGAAGAGAAAGATTTGGCTTTTTTTTCTACTTCCTTAAATTTTTTTTAACGGCAGAAAAATTTCATAGGCGGAGCTTGACTTCCCGTGGGAATATTGGCGTACATTCTGAAGGTATGATCACATTCCAACTAAGGAGGTGGCATTTAAAATGGAAATACGGGAATATCCCAAATGTGGAATGATATCCGAGACTTATCTGTCTTCTGGCGCTACAGTGGAGCTAATCTCGAAGGATTTGAACGTAGTAAGGGACATCGGGATTTGCTCGACCTTGCCTCTTGGATTCTTTGACTTTCGACGAATCATGTTTCTGATTTGGTAGGAGGTCTCGTCGGTGAATACTGCTCGACTCCTATCGTCCTTGTGCCGAATTGCCTCCTGGATGCGCGCATCTTTGTGCTTCTGTGCCAACATCGGCGTCACATGGGGCAAAGTACTCTTGTAGCCTATCCGTTTGACCTGGCTTTGGACCGTCCATCGAGATACGTGCCGACCTCGGTCGGCACATACACTCTTAGAAAAAGGAGAGCGATTTTTCTCAAAAAAGAGAGTAGAATAGCTAACTCCAGTTTCACCCCCCTTTCACTCTGGGAAAGGAACAAATTTACTCCACCATGAATGAGTAAAATTGCTTTCCTCCTCCGTGAGTAAAGACGCTCCCATCAGAAAGTGATAGGGATGTCGTGCAATAGCGAAAAATTCATTGTATTCTGTGTGTCGCTATCTCTCTCGTACATGCGTTGACCTACCTCTGACTGTACTGATTACATAACACGTCAGAGGGTGTACCACCTCTTATTGGTTCCGTGGTGTAGTCCGGGATATCAGTCCTTATCACCTCATTCAATTGCGGTATGAGGGAATGAAGTTCACGGGCGTTCTCTATGCATTCTAGATCTTCTGTGTGGATAAACTCACCCGCGTTCCAAAGGGGTTCTCAATAGGAATATGAGCATGTTTATGGCATGGACTCTATGAGTACGGCCTGAATATGTGGATAACAAATGATGGAGTGTCCATGTTTATTGATTCCTATAATGAGACTAGGCGAGACACATGGCATGGTACTAAACAATCCTGCGAGGAATGATTCCAGGGAAAGAGGGAAGGGAACTTTCGTGTACTGTGCGAAAGGCGAGATCTTTATCTCCATCTAGTGGCCCGGCGAAGAACTGAACTGTGTTCACTTCAATACAAGCGATGAGGGAGCATTTGGTGAGTAATAAGAGAGTAAATTAGAAAAGCTCATGGTGTGCTCACTTTTTACTCCCCATATTTGGTGAGTAATAAGAGAGTAAATTCGAAAAGCTCACCTACTGCTCACTTTTTGCTCCCCAAACGCTCGGAATTTTCTAAGAGTGTATCTCGACAACTTTTGCGCTTGCAGTTCTTTCGCCGTTGGCTCATGGTTTCGTCGAATCCATCGGCCGAGTGCGTCGTCATTGGCGGCTTTGATCTTGCGGAGCCGGCCACAACGGCTTCTGTTCTCCACCGTGGCCTGTTCTTTGATCTTGGCAATATTGTATTTCACAGTCCGAACGGAGATCTTCCTTAGACGTACGATTGTGGCAGGAGATCGATGGCCGTTGTTCCAGAAGTGTGAAGTAGTTGATCGCTTCGTTTTCGGCGAAGTAGAATTTCGTTGTCAAGGCATATTTTCCACACTAAAAAATATTTAGAACGATTTGAGAAAGATGGGGTTTTCGCAGCTATATGTAGACCTTTCCTCACCTTGAAAGTTCTCGAAAAATCTATCCAATATTTTCCAGAGATGTGCTTCCAGGAAGTTGGCTTTTGCGAGGGGCAATGCCTTTAGCACCTTAGTGTATTTTTTACAAACATCGTTAAGCCTCATGTGCGAACGTCCGTGGGTTGATATGTTAGTTCTAATAAAGTCTTATGAAGTGACTTGAAGTTTAATGAGAATCTCTGAATGACATGAGAAATGACTTTGCGCCTTTATGGAATGGTCTCTTTATTGGTTTTCACACTGTGTGAAAGCTCACCTCAAAAGCTTTCAATCAAATACACAATTCACAGTCTCCACCATCCCGGTTACAATTGCGGATATCATATCCCAGTCAGCGTAATTTGCCTGTGAACGTGGTTTTTAAACGCAGTACTTATGCATTACTCGAATCCAGGTTTCTTTCTTTCACCTTTTTCCCCTCAAGGTCAGAAAAAAGGTAATTGTGGAATTAATGTTGCATCATCTCCCCAGCACTGTGACCATAGATTTCCTTCTTTACACCCTCAACGTTTGAAGTGGATCCTCTATCAATTCCATCCATTGCAATCAAGGCGATGACTGTAATAAATTATTACCCATTATTGGTGCAACCCTTCTCGAATAACTTTGTGTCCGGTCGTTTTGAGGCCCATTTTACTGTTAGAGAATGATCCAGGCTGCATAAATTGCAATAAAAGCGCATATGTTAAAATATCGTCTGCCTATTACTGCAAAGAAACTGAGTCAGTTGCTATTTGGAAGGCACTACTGTGACCTTACCATATCCGGAGCTGACTCCAGAAAACCTACCACCTGTTAAGGTTAGCCCTGTTCCTTAGTTATGTGAGGAGTGTGGCCCAAGTAACAGAGAGAGAGAACAGTAAGGTAAATAACATTCATTCAAGATTAGAATTTTCTCCAGTCGGATCCTTCTCCCATCCAATATTACTTTTTACATTGATCACTATTATCCTATTAAAGAAACTCTGTTTTATTTTGAAGTGTCCAAAGAATACTTTGATAGATTCATTCTTGTTAATTACTTTAAAAAGTACGGTGGATAACTGTTGCTTTTGATAATGTATTATTGTCTTTATTTGTAATAAAGTTAAGTACTTTATTTGGAAGGATCACGAGGATTTCCATTTCTCCAGAATTCATGTCTGGCGAATCTGCCTTGACACTCGAATCTGGGACAGGGCAGGGGATCAAATAGTATTGATCAATTGTTACGTCACATACTAGACCAAAGTAACACTTGCAGTGACTTATGGCAGTGATCCACTTCAAATGTCGAGTGGTGTATTTGGAAGGATTGGAATCATCAGGATGCACTCATACACGATGATGATGATTAGGTATATTGTGATGATTTAACATGCGAGACGTTCGCAAAGAAATATATGCTATATTTATTATATATATATATATATATATATATGTATTGGCCTCTTGAGAAATGAAATGCATTGGGAAAAACTTATTGAAATCAAAGAACCTACCTAGGTCAGGAGTTATTATATGCCAGAATGTATATACTCTTATGAGCCGAATGGAGGGCTGCCTTGTGAATACGAACTTGACTGGCAACTGTCCAAATTCGTGTTCATCATGTGTGTTACTCTACTTTTTACCGGGCATGGGAGGTACAGCATACGTGGTTTTTTGACAATTTTGCAATAATGTGGTGTGATCATCAATCGGCGGTTTGCCACCTGAAGTTGCAATTCTGGCCAACAAGTTGCCAAAGAGCTGTGCAAGCTCTGTGTCCATGCCGGGTTGGGGCTTTGCTCCACCAGGGGCGCGAGAAGCCGCGTACGTAGTTTTCTGACTGACTTGCAATAATTTGGCCTGTTCCGCAAGCGAAGGTTTGACCCACGTACTGCAGAACTTCGAGCAAGTGTGATTCTTGAAGAAATTAGCAATTCCTAGAGCTCCCATGTCGGTGGGTCCCCAATTTTGTTTCAACGAGTTGATGGCTGGGTCGGTGAAGTAGTAGGCGTCGTTCGTGTCACCAGTGATTTGACGTACTCCCTGTAGATCGCAGACAATTAACTCCCGCGTCTTGTGCCACGTATAATGGGTGAAGACTCCAGGAGCAGTGTATCCGTCAAGGATAAACCCAGAATTGGAGGTGAATTTCTCATAGTCTCCGTATATGAACTGTTCCAAGACCACTTTCTCTCCCTGAAAAACACACATAAAAACAGCTGTTCCTGGTTATATATGCTTTGTAGGCATTTACAATCTCCAGAGTCATCGCCTATCCTACAAGAGGAGATGAAAAGAGTTATGTAAAACAACTCTGACGAATTTAGGGTACCATACAGTGCCTATGTTTTATTCAAGGTTTTTTTGGGAAAGGTTTTATCTACCGCCAAACTACTTTCACAACTTCCATGTAGAAAGGGATATGAAAAGACGCATTTTCTACTGGCCACTTTCGTGAAGCATGTCACCATATTTGGATCTCTCCTCCATTTATGTACTCGCATGAACCTTGGACGCGCATCGAACGAGGTCCACCAAGATTTAGTACTTTTATATCTATTGAGGGAGCGCTCATTTGCACATCTGCGAGATAGATAAGGAATTTATTTGGAAAGCTGGGAAAGAAAGTACAAGATCCCTTCTGTATGCTTCACAGTAGCTTTGTACAATAAAATTTCCAAGACCAAAATTGTATGACATTTCCAAGTTGAATTCCCATACGATTGTTCTCGTAAATGAATGAAGGTCAATTTAATCATACTGAAATTGAATCAAGCCCAATCTCGTGTCCGAAAAATGGAGAGAACGATTGGACCAAAATTTCCTTACAGTAGTATGTCCATGTCATCTCCCAATAAACCGATGAGAAAGTATCAATGGGACCCCTGCAGTGTCAGAAGTAAGAAGTACGCTGACTCTTAACCCTAAGGGTGCTCAGGAGTCAGGAGTCAGGAGAGTTAGTGATATCAAGAGGCGATTTCGCCCATTTCGATATCACGTGTCGAGGTCGAGCGTTCCTTAATTTTAGGGTAGGCCTAACCCTCTTAAAGCTAAATATTTTTGTATTTTTGTATTTTTTGGAATTTTTTTTTTTTTTTTTTTTTTTTTTTTTTTTTTTTTTTTTTTTTTTTTTTTTTTTTTTTTTTTTTTTTTTTTTTTTTTTTTTTTTTTTTTTTTTTTTTTTTTTTTTTTTTTTTTTTTTTTTTTTTTTTTTTTTTTTTTTTTTTTTTTTTTTTTTTTTTTTTTTTTTTTTTTTTTTTTTTTTTTTTTTTTTTTTTTTTTTTTTTTTTTTTTTTTTTTTTTTTTTTTTTTTTTTTTTTTTTTTTTTTTTTTTTTTTTTTTTTTTTTTTTTTTTTTTTTTTTTTTTTTTTTTTTTTTTTTTTTTTTTTTTTTTTTTTTTTTTTTTTTTTTTTTTTTTTTTTTTTTTTTTTTTTTTTTTTTTTTTTTTTTTTTTTTTTTTTTTTTTTTTTTTTTTTTTTTTTTTTTTTTTTTTTTTTTTTTTTTTTTTTTTTTTTTTTTTTTTTTTTTTTTTTTTTTTTTTTTTTTTTTTTTTTTTTTTTTTTTTTTTTTTTTTTTTTTTTTTTTTTTTTTTTTTTTTTTTTTTTTTTTTTTTTTTTTTTTTTTTTTTTTTTTTTTTTTTTTTTTTTTTTTTTTTTTTTTTTTTTTTTTTTTTTTTTTTTTTTTTT